CAAAGCATCAGCTGCTGGAAAAGAAATGGATTATGTTGCAGACAGTTTCCACATACTGTTAGATGTCCAGATAGAAGAGAATGTGTAACTACTGCCACTCTCACTAACAGGAAAAGATACTTTTACTCAAACTTCCTTTTTTTTTTTTAAGTTGTTCTTCCGAAAGCATTGCAGAAGTTACATTTAACTGATGTTTTATCTAGTAGCAAGACTTAAATTAACTTGAGACTATTTTAGGCTGATTTACATAAGCATTAGCAGTGCATTTTCAGGTTTACAGGTAAAGAGAAATAAAATCACTTATGTTCCTGCTACAAACTAGCTCTTGAAGTCTCACTAAGGAGCTCAATAATTCATGTACCAGGATCTACAGTCAATGTTCATCTTTCTTCCAACACCTTTTCTCCCTTTCTCCTGTGTAAGAGAAGGAATTATTTTTCAGTTTCTGCTTTGAAGTAGCATAAGACTCCTAAGATGAAAAGAGACTTTCCTTCTTGAATTTAAACAATGTATCATTTGGGCTGTCAGAAGCCCATTAAACGTGGCACTCATCAAAATTTCATGGGGTTTCCATTTTCATTAACGCTTATTGTGACATTTCCCTTATTGCTGAAAACTAGAGCAGCATAGTTCTTGAAACCTCTCCTGGTTTAGTGTACACAGTACAGTGTTGACCTAGTCGTTTAAAGCTTCACTATGAACCACACTTCCATGTTATGATTGTTTCATCTCAACCTAACAGGCGTCAGAACCACCTGTGCTTTCCAGCAGCACCTAGTGATCAAGCACCACACAGGGAGGGATGGAGACAGCCAGGACAGTCTCTCTCTCTCAGTTCACTTACTGAAAACTGAGATGTTTTAGAAGCACACACTTACAGCACTAAGGCCACAAGCTTAAATAGCACCATTTTTTCCCCATGATGCTCTGGAGTCTATCTGATAAATCCCAACTCCCCAATGTCAAGACAGGAGGCAGATGAGATCCATAGTCCCAGAAGGGTGGGGGGCCCAATTACCCTTTGCCAAGGACCTGAAGGTGATGAAGAAGAGAGGATGTGTTGATTCTGTAAGATGGCACAGGCGACAAAGGATAGATACCAATATGAGAGATGGAGGAGCAAAAGAAGGTGATTGGGGCACAAGGAGTCCCCTTCATGGGGAGGATGAAGATAGGTGGAGTAGAGAGGTAGGTACGCCCCCCAGTTGCAGGTGTAGCGAGAGGACCTGATAATGGGAATGACAGAGCCAGTGAAGGGGCAGCTGAGACCCGAGAGAAGGGAATGGTGTTGCCCCAGAAGCCCTGCCTGGCACTGGGAGGCAGGACGATGCTTTCACCTCTCCCGTCACTAGGCTCCCAATGCCTCTCGCTGACACCGGCAGCCCAGCGGGTGGCTCACGATCCCCGCCTCTCCCCGCCGTACCAGTCGCTGTGTAGCACTGGCAGGGGAGGGATCCGCGCTGTCCATGGCACCTGTCCAACTCTGTGGTCACAAGGAGGCTGGTGTCCGGTCATGGGCTGATGCTGGGGGAGGGGCTTTGGTACAGCTACCCCTCCCCCCAGGCCGGCGTCGGTCAGACGCTGGCGGGAGGGGGATGGTACCAGCCCAGACGAGTACCAGTACTTGTCTAACGCTGGCGGGAGGGGAGCTGGTACCGGCCCGGCTGCCCTACCCACCCCGGTACCGGTGAGATGCTGGCAAGAGGGGGGTTGGTACCCACCCGCCCCTCCCCCGGCCCGGTGGGGCGCTGGCGGGAGGGGGGTTGGTACTGGCCCGGCTGCCCCTCCCCCGCCATGCCGGTACCTGTCGGACGCTGGCAGGCAGGCGGGCCCAGGGGTAGTTGTGGCGGATGTGGAACTCCACGTCTATGTTCATGGCGAGGGGCCGGGACAGGCTACGGCCACCCGCTCCTCACAGCCCCAACGCAGGGGGGCGCTCCAGCACGGGCTCCTCCCTCCCGCCGCGCAGCCTCTACCGACACCTCGCTCCCCCCACCCCAAACCACTTCCGCGTTACGCCCCCCGGAAGCGCCACCCCAGCCCTACGTCACTTCCTGCACCTGGGCTTGAACGCTCCGATAGTTCCACGGGCGCCCGGCTGGCTCACGGGGCTCGTGCACAGTGGGAAAGGTGGGACTGGCCCTTTAAGGGGGAGGGGGCTGCAGATGCGCACGCAGTGCATGACGCAGTCAGGGAGGGCGTTTCCGCTGAGTCCCCTCCCTTGCCCCCTGTCTGGAAGCGCTCAGGCGCCTGCGCCACTCTCTTCCCCGCAGGTCTCCGAGCGCTTTCCCCCAGCTACCGCGGGGTGCCTGGGCGCCGCAGTCTGGCCCCCGCCCGGCTGCGCGGGGCCGGTACACAGCGCCGAGCCCAGATTCCAGCGCGGCGCTCCCACGCCCCAGGCTAGTGCCCCAGTGTCTGCCCCCTGTGCACCAGCCTACGGCCCCACCTCACAGCCGCGACCCCTTCCTGCCCAGCCCCCGCACGGCTACGCTCCCTGGTCCCCTGCCCCAAACAGCGTCAGCCCTGAGCCTGTCCTCACTGTTTGTCGTGCCTCCCTGAGCCTGACCCACAAATTGCTCCACATCTAATTCCCAGGCCCGGCCCCTCTAGCCCCCCCTCCCCCAAAATGCTCCTGGGCTCCAGCCTACATCCCTACTGCCTCCACTCCCCAGTAGTGCTGCAGAAGTGAGTCCTGAGCCCCTCCCGCCAATCCCTCAGGTTAAGTCTCAGTTCCCTCTCTGTTCAGGTGCCTCCTATCGCTGCCCCCTACCACAGGACTCTGAATTGGACTCCATTATTTGAATTGAGTTGTACTTGTGAAGAGTGTACAGGTCCTCCAGTGTACATTGGGTATAAATTAGAGGTGTCAACCGTATGGCCTGCGTGATGTATTCATGTGGCCTGCGTTACGTATTCAGAGTCTCCAGAACTTAAGCTGTCTTTTTTTTTTTTTTTTTTTTAAAGTTTGGTAGCCTCATGGCTGCCAAAATAAAGCTATGCCTGTACTATGCACCTTTGAGTGACACAGCTGTGCCACTAAAAGGTGGGCAGTGTAGTCGCTCTATGTCAGCAAGAGAGAGTTCTTCCACCGACAAAAGAATTCCACCCCCAATGAGAGATGGTAGCTTTGTCAGGGGAGAGCTCTCCCGTCGACAAAGCGCTGTTCACACCAGCACTTTCATCAACTTTTGTTGTTCAGGGGGGTGTTTTTTTCACACCCTTGAACGACAAAAGTTTTACTGATGAAAGTGCAGTGTAGACAAAGCCTAACTTTCCAAATGTGAAAGATTTGTAATCAAAATGTTGTCTGCCTGAGTCTGCAGATAGCTTAAAACAATGACTCTGCAATGGGAAATTTCCAGTATCCTATTAATCTGATTGGAGTGTCAACTTTAAAACCAACTGATGGTATCTCATTGGTATCTCTGATTGGAGTGTCAACATTAACTATTTAAATCACGGACCATTGTAATGCATGGAATGGCTGGGGGGGGGGGGAGGTGAAATCCCACTGGGCTGGTAATTGCAGAGGGGAAAAAACGAGACTCACAAAGACTGAAATGGGAGAGAAAGGAAGAAGGGCAGAAATAATCATGGCCTAAAGGTCATTCATCTGTCTGTCTGACAATAGGTCACTGAACAAATAATGACTGATAACTAAACGTGTAGTTAATGCATAAAACCAGAACATTCTCCTGTTCATCTCTGCAAACCCACTGATGTTGTGAGCATTCCGTTGCGCATTGTCACACACAGTGAGCCACAGGATCAGTGTAAATATGGAAGTCAGTTGAAATAAAACTCTTAACTGCTGCATTGCATCTGGTTTAGATGTAAGGTTTTGTCTGTCCTTTAGAATTTTATAGATACTGTTATTGAGACTGATACCAACTTGCTATTCAGTAGTATTTTTCTCAAGCAGGTTGCACATTGTTTAAATAGCCTTTTACTCTTATTTTGAACTTCTTGAAAATAAAAGTATAGGGCTATTTAATTTTTGCTTTAGCTGCACTCTATTACTACTAAAATATATTTAAGAGATTGCTGTTTGAAATGTCACGAGCAATCAGAACATGAAAGTAATACCTGCTGAAAGAAAGTGAACACCTGATTACTTGTTCAATTTAATGTGTCTGACTATTATCTTACATGAATAATAATATTTGGTCAATGATAATATTAGCAAGAAAATGAAAGCCATAGCAGTAGAAAGAAACTCAGCACCTTAACGGCTTGCTTTGTTGCCTTGTCCCTACTATAAATTCATTTATACACACTCATCCTTCCAAAACAGTTCTTCAAATCTTGTAATCAAGGCTATCATCTTTTGATGCGTCATATCCTATCACACCCTTATATAGTATATAAGTAAACTATGAAAAGTAATTAGTCTGAAACCCTTTATATCTTGCCTGCTATCATATAAATCATCACCTTGTACTAGTCTTTAGCTGGTACTGTCTGTTTGCTATCGATAACAGCAATAGGCCACACCTGTTGATAGGGCATGGCAATTTTAAGCTTTTGATTTGGGGCCAAATTCTCATGTTAGCGAACCAACATCATTGAGTTATTCCTTTGAAAATAACTAGTAAAACACAGATTGCAAAATCAGCAAGCTAGAAGCTCAAGCACTCAGACATCACAATGGTGGGCACAGTACAAAAACCTCTTAGGGCTTGTCTACACTGGCACTTTACAGCGCTGTAACTTTCTCACTCAGGGGTGTGAAAAAAACACCCCCCTGAGCACAGCAAGTTTCCAGAGTAAACAGTGCACCAGCGTCATGGAGGTGGCTTTAGCGTTGACAGTGTAGACTAGCCCTTAGATTGCTTCGAAGCCTTGTGTTCAACTCATTGGGACTAATTTTCAAGCTTTACTCTGGAAAGTGTTTTTGGGCTATCAAAGCCATGATTAGAATCCAAAAATGGATTTACTTGAACATAAATGAGATTTTTACCTGTTGCAAGAATAAAGCATTATATAAAGAAATTGCATCATTTAGTTATTTAATATCGTTGGTCAAGGTTTTCAAACAGTTGTTGGTATCCTTTCATCTACGAGAGACGGTGGGAACTGCAGCCTATGATGTAGATGGTTTGCAATGTCTCATGTGACTGAATAGTCCAATCCAAGATTTGCATGATCTTTGGCAGTTATTGCAAATATATGTATCTTGCTTGGGAGCTGCTTGCTTCCTACGGGATCTTTTCTCTTCAAGATGTAGGAGCCAGCTTCTATCATGGACTTTGATACCCTGATGGAGACAGGAGCCTAAAATTAGGTTCCTAAATAAAAGTTGTCTGATTTTCAGACATGCTAAGTTCCTTCAGCTCAGATTGAAGTCAGTCAGCCCTGATTCTAATTGTGACGGGTTGGATCACAGAAACTCCTTTCGGAGCTGCCACCTGATGTGCCAAGACTACTTCTACCCCTGCCTGCCCTGCCAGCTTGAGCCAGACACTCCCATCTGCTCCAACACAGACCCAGGGTCTGAATTACTTGCCCCAAAGCTGCAGGTTTACCTGAAAGCAGCTAACCGAAGTGTGCTCGTCTTTAACATTCAGATGCCCAGCTCCCAATGGGGTCTAAACCCAAATAAATCCGTTTTACCCTGTATAAAGCTTATGCAGGATAAACTCATAAATTGTTCGCCCTCTATAACACTGATAGAGAGATATGCACAGTTGTTTGGTCCTCCAGGTATTAATACATTCTCAGAGTTAATTAATAAATAAAAAGTGATTGTATTAAATACAGAAAATAGGATTTAAGTGGTTCCAAGTAGTAACAGACAGAACAAAGTAAGTCACCAAGCAAAATAAAATAAAATGTGCAAATCTATGTCTAATCAAACTGAATACAGATAATCTCACCCTCAGAGATGCTTCAGTAAGTTTTTTCCTCAGACTGGACATCTTCCAGGCCTGGACACAATTCTTTCCCCTGGTACAGCTCTTATTCCAGCTCAGGTGGTAGCTAGGGGATTCTTCATGATGGCTCCTCTCCTTTGTTCTGTTCCACCCCTTTATATATCTTTTGCATAAGGCGGGAATCCTTTGTCCCTCTCTGGGTTCCCACCCCATCCTTCTCAATGGAAAGACATCAGGTTAAAGATGGATTCCAGTTCAGGTGACATGATCACATGTCATTGCAAGACTTCATTGCCCATTTGCCAGCGCACACGTATACAGGAAGACTTATAGGTAAACACACCCATCTGCAGACAATTGTCCTGGTTAATGGGAGTCATCAAGATTCCAAACCACCATTAATGGCCCACACTTTGCATAATTACCATAGGCCCTCAGAGTTATATTTCATATTTCTAGTTTCAGATACAAAAGTGGTACATTTATACAAATAGGATGATCACACTCAGTAGATTATAAGCTTTGTAATGATACCTTACAAGAGACCTTTTGCACAAAGCATATTCCAGTTACATTATATTCACTCGTTAGCATGTTTTTATAAAATTATATAGACTGCAATGTCACACAGATGTAAATCAGATGTGTAAAAACAATATGAGTTCAGAAGCAGACATGTTGGGAGTCCCAGATGATCAGCACTTCCAAGGATTAGGCCTACCGGGTATGTGCCTACATGTGTTTCCAATCTTTTCTCTCAGCTTTGGCAGCACAGCTGTTGGCTCTCTCCTCCCTGGGTGTGCATGCATGACCCCTCTGAGGGAGTGCCAAAGGTAAATTAAGGTTTCTTTGGACAACACTAACTTTTACAACTATTTTCCTTGTGAATTACACAAGCTTGCCATAACAGCATACCTCACAGAACAGTCCCCTCTCTACTTGTGCTTCGCTGCGCTCCTCTTTTTGTCTTACTTTACATTTAATAATATAATTCTATTGACTAGGTTGAGGGGCAAATTTGAAATAGCTTATAGCTATTTATACTTTCTAAAATGCAAATTATATCATTGTATCCCTTTCTCCAGACCTGTGAATGTCACTTGTCTTTTTAAACTGTACCCCTCTAGTCAGGGCCTATGTATTTGTATGTGCACTTGCATAGCACCTAGCACAGCAGGATATTTTGTGGGCTCTCAATCCAACCTTGTAGCTGCTCCTGCAATATACAGAACAATAAATAATGGTTTGACCAGTCCAATTTTAAATGACTCGAGCATGGGTTCCATCACTTTTCTTCTCTTGCCTATTCCATAGCCTGATCAGTCTAATTGTCTGGAACATATTACCCATATTCAGCCTAAGTTTTCTCCCATTAAAATATCTTCTCCTAATGATACTGCACTTTGTGTTTGATTTGTTACATATATATTTTAAATGTGGAGCAACTCAGATGTTTCATCACACGTGAAAATATTACCTTCTGTCAGGGCCGTCCCTAGCCATTTTGGTACCATACGCAGCTCTGTGGGGCCCCAGGCCTCCGCGGGGAAGGGGAAACTGCCCCCTAGCATGATCCAGCAGAGCGGGTTGGGCCAGGTCGCTACACTTTCTGCCACCCAGTGAGTGCAGGGTAGGCAGGTAGGAACCATGGACTACTTAATCAGAAAACTGCGGGGGTGGGTGGGAAGGAACAACAAATTTACCACATAAATTTGCTGGAGCTCTGCAAACAAGGGAAAACTTCATCATGCCGTATCTTGAGGAACTAGAATTGGGGCCCCAAATTAACAACTGCCTGAAAGAAAGCTTAGTGCCCCTCAGAGAGTAACTAAACCAGAAACAAAAGGAACAGGAATTCCAACTGGTATTTTCCAAAGGTATTCTCAACTCCTTGGCCCACCATCAAATTGATATGGAACCTGGTAAAGTAATACAGGAAGGGCTGTGACCAATCCCCAACTAATTGAGGGGGGCGGTTGAAAAAGGACCATGTTAGAACTCAGGGTAATAGAGGAATCCCAAGGGGACTGGAGGAGTCCTATTGTGCTCATGGGCAGCGGGTATAATAGACCAGGGGAGGCTCTGGCCAGAACAGCTCCAGCCACACCAGCCCACCAACCCAGCCCCGGGCCACCTGCCAACCCCAGCCACACCGGCCAGCCGCAGCAGCCGCAGCCCCTCTCCCTTTAATCGGTTAATCGATTAAATGACAATTTTAATCATTTAAACGGTTAATTTTTTTAATGGATATTTACATCCCTACAGTCGGCCTATTTCATTTTAAGACAATGCCCTTTGAGTTACATGGGGCCGTGTCTACTTTTCAACATTTGATAGACTGATTACTCCAACAGCATAATCAATACACAGTGGCATACTTGGACAATGTAATTATCTATAGCAAGGATTGAGATTCCCCTCTGGACAGGGTTACCATACGTCCGGATTTTCCCGGACATGTCCGG